GGTAAATATTTTTACCATTTTTCTTAAATACAAAAAAATTTATCACTCTTGTGAATAATTTATCACATTTGTGATTTTTTTAGCATATTTATGAGTGTTTTTACCATTAATGTGATAACTATTTTTACTAATTTTTTGGGTACCGCAAAAGTTATCCCAAATGTGGTAAATTTCAAATTTCGGTACTATATATCAAGTCCAATGAAATCAGACAAGTCTACGTACTCAAAAAAAAAAAAAAAAAGGGAAAGATTACGGTACCATACAAAAAGATACAATATTTTAAGACTAAGTTATAATTTTTTTTAAATATAAGTTATAATTTTTAAAATGTATGATCGATCACCAGAGGCCGCAATTGATTCCAGAGTTATAACTTTCAAAGTTAGGCTATAATTTTTAAAGGTTGACTTTAAACTCATGAATAAGACATTACAACAGTTTAAGAAATATTCATGATTAATTATGGTCTTCCCTTAAACAGTTGTAACTATTTCTTTTAAATGTTTAAATTTACCATAAAAAAATTGTAACTAATGATATGGTATCAAATTTTTTTTTTCATTACATAAAGTTTTTCCAAAAAAAAAAATCAATATTGTATTGTTATTTATCACTTTTTGAATATTTTTATCAATTTTGTGGGTGTCACAAAAGTTGTAAATATTTTTTATTGTAAAATAACTCATAAAAATTATAAAAATATCATTAAAATATTAAAATTTAGAGATTTGATACCCAAATTTATTTTTTTTGATACACAAGGAATTCCTGCATTTAGAGGAGGAAAAAGTAATGTAATTGGAACCCAAAAATCCCACATAATTTGTTGAGATAATAATGTAGTTTCGTTAAAATTATTAGATCAAAACTAAATTTTAATGTTTGATAAGATTTATAGTAAATTCAGAAATTATAATAAATTAAATACCAATTGCATTATTCGTGAGAAAAAGTGAGTCATAGAAGGACCCACCACAGTATACCATTCAAGTAAGTATTGACCATAGGAGGACCCGGTGGAGCCTCTCGTTCACCTAACAAAGCCCACGTAGGTTTAAGAGAGAATTTTGTTTATTACCTTGAGTAAATAACCACGGCGAGATTTTCTTTAATATATTTTTTGTCTATTTTTTTTTTCATAAATTAATTATTAAAAATTCAAATTAAACCTATTATATATAATTATATTTTTCACTCATTCATAATAAATGATTTGTCAAAAAAAAAATCTCGAATATATTACTTGCAAATTCATACCATTTAGGAATTGTTGATTGAAGGAGTATTTGTGGAACCTTACAACTCCTCTCTTATAAAATATATATATATATATGAACACCCTAATTTAAAAAAAAAGAAAAAAAGATTAATACTAGTATAGACATAACAAGACAAATTTGAAGAAAGAAGTACTAATTAAGGTATCAATTTCGTGTATAAAAATTTACAACAAGGAAACCAAGTAGGGGACACATATTTTATGTATTTTTTTTTCAACGGGTGTCCGGACCAGTTTATGCATATTTCGACTAATTCTCTTCCCGATTCAGTTAAAGACAAATCATCCACGCCTAGATTGGGGTATTCATGAGAAATAAATCTCTTATACTTGACCCTAAGAGATTGTCAAGATTCAAACTCAAAACGTTTTAAGTTTACAGCTCATTTCTACCACTCGAGCTACCCTTGAATTATTTACTAATGTATGTATGCACCAATTACTAATTAGATGACAAAATTATTTTTGCTTTTTTGGGGAGCTTTTTTTTTTTTTTTTCATTTTTGATAATTCTTAAATGAAATAAATTGTTTGTAAAGTTATTAATAATTGATCCAAATTCACTTCAACACTTTTTTTCTAATTTTTTCTTGACGGATTATCGATTATTAATAAGTAACCTAGTCTATCAATCTAATTATTCACGACTATTGAATTAACAATGAGTTTTAGTATTTGTTGAAACCTGTAATTAATTCAATAATTGTAATAAATTAAATTAAAAAATAAGTCTAAATAATATTATTAACGATCGTCAAATTTTTATTTATTGTTTTAAAAATATATTAAAAGAAATCTGGCTAAACTGAAAATGCTTTCATGTCAACCCAAAATCATTTAGAGCTTAGTACATAGTGGCATAAATGACTGAATAATTAATCATTGTACTCGACAGAGAGATTGAGGGTTTTTGAAATGAAGATTTGACATTTTTATATTAGACATTTATTAATAGGTACGTCTAATAGATACTTTATTGTATGTGATCATGATTCAATTTATATCAAATCGCAAACATTATACATTAATTTACGTCCCAACCATTACATGTTATGTCATGATTTGAAATTCACTTGCATATGAGATATAGTCACATTCATACATGATCACAACTCAGTTAAACTCCGAGGATGACTCAAGTCAAAACAAGAATGATTTTTAAACTTAAAGACATTCTAAATTTGAATCTTAATAATTTTTTAAGGCCTCTTCATAAGGGATTTATCCCTCATGAATATCTTAATCCTAGCGTGTATGGTCTGTCTTTAACCGAATCTGAGAGATGATTAGTAAAAGTGCATGTTATGTATGTCACTTTCCACCCTGATTCTCATTTTGTACCCTTAATGTTATGAATTAGTAGTAATATGGACCTGATCCAGACTGTTGTTTCAATTTTTCTTCATAAATTAAAACGCGTGAGTTGCAAAATGCCTCAAACATAAACTTCTGTGTAAATTCATATACTGTTTAACGCTTCATGTGAGTTGCATATGATAGAGTTAACCTCTATCGGATTAATGAATTCCTATTTTTCATATACAAAACGGTGTCAAATTGATCACAGACAAAGATTTATAGTGATCGATATATTTCATTCTCATATCCGAAGCACTTGCACCTCACATGTTTCAAATTAAAACTGAAAATTGAGCGACAGTCTAAGTAAAGATTATATTATTATCAATTTATAATATTAAGGGTATAAATTAAAATTTTTAATATTTAAGAGTGTAAAATAAAAATCGAAACATATTTCGCGATACAAAATGAGATTAGTCAAAAAAAAAAAAAAAAAAAAAAACCTTCAATATCATCCTTTCACAAGTTGTCTTTTGAAAAGTCAAGGCATTATTAGGCCACAGTTCTTTCCTAGCTACACATAAATGCAGGGTAGGTTGGGTGTGGGGGAACGTGGGGTGAGGGTTGTTTTGAGGAGGGGTTGTGGTTGCCCAACCTCATTACCTGTTTTACTGTAAAAATTGCTAAGTGGAAGATGCACCAAATACTTCAACCATTGCTAGTGTGGGTTTGTTGTCAAATTTTGGTCAACAAACCTCGGGGACAAATTTCTTCCACGTAATAGAATACTAGGTAGTTATATTAATATCTTTTAAATTGGTATATATAACATTTTATGAATATTAAATTTCATAATATTCAATTGAACTAGATGATTCGACACGGTATCATACAAAATCAACCCAATTTTTTTCAGTGCTCTAAAAAAATTACTATTTTTTATAATTTGAGAATCGGATTTAAAAAAAGTTTTGGCAAATCTCTCAATTTTTTTTTTGATTATTTGATTTTTTTATTTTTTTTCTCTTTTTTCCGATTACAGTGACCAGTATTCAAGTTCAAAAAGAATAGTTAACACAAATCTGAACACCTTATAGAAAAAAGAAAAAAAAAACCCACCTTTGTCATGTCTTTGATTCTTTTATACAAGACTTGCAAGCCTTTGTGTATTAAATGGTTTTGAATCGAATGTGTTAACAAGATTAGTTCTATTTCTCCATTATGCCTAAGAAATAAAATATATTATGTTACCCCAATGATGACTTAGTAAATGGTACCAAGCCTATGATAGAGTTTATTACGAGGTTGATGGGTTTTAGTCAAATTGAGGTGGAGACAAGTACCAAGAGAATAACTTTTTATTTTTGTGATTTTACTCGAAATTGTATTTTCTCATGTATAAAATCATCTTAAAATTTAGAGTAATGTTATTTAGACCTAATTTACTTATCTAATCAACTATAATTATTGTATTAGAAGTGGACTTTATTTAATATTAAAATTTACTATTACTCTAATGACCACAATAAATTAAATAAATAAATTATATATAAGTAACATTACTCTAAAACTAATATTTTAATGTAGATAACTTGTCAAGTGTCTATTCTTCAACCACCACATTTGAGGCTATTAAATGATGGAAATAAATACCCTTCGATAGTTCACTTCATTTCATACAGTGGAGTAATTTTTCACCATATATTAATTAAATTTAATTTTAAGAAATAGTTTAAATAATAATAAGGACAAACTGTAAATTCAGATATCTTAAATTTAAATTTTGACAATTCTTTGGGACTAAACCATAATGAATTTATTCATCATGAATATCTTAATCCCTGACGTAGATGATCTGTTTTTGATCGAATTGGATAAGAGATTAGTCGAGTTATTTATAAACTGTTCTAAACACTTCTAACCATTGAACAAAAAAAAAATTTGAAACAAAGTTAATGAATTTTTAGATGAACTCAAAAATATGTATCGATTCAAACACATTATATTAGATCGAGTCAAAAGAGAAAATCAAATTATATGATACAATGGGTTACACATGTAGAATTAAAATTAAGTAATACTTGAAATAAATATAAAAATATAAAGTATTCGAATATGACATTCACATGAGTTTATTATTAACATACCCCAAAATTTACAAAGATTAGAGTGGTGGGCGTGACATGTACTCTCAAAATTTTCCACTAATAAGAACTGTTCTAATCATTAGTTGCATCAAAAGTTTCCAGTACAATTGGTGTTTTTTTGAACCGCAGTACCTAATTTATACATCTAGAGAGAGATAGAAGAGAGCAACGACACAGGACAGTGCTCAAAGGTTTCAATTGAGTTAGGAACCCGAAGGAGTTTTTGTATAGCATCTCAGAACTCCCAAAAAAGCACTCTCTGTCTCTCTCTCTCTCTCTCTCTCTCTCTCTCTTACTCATCTCTCTCCATTATTTGAGGGTCTCCCGGAGTTTCAGAGTTCTACACAACCCCCCAAGCTGGCAGCTGGCAGCTGGCATGTTGGCCCATTGTCAGGTGTCTCTCTCTCTTTTTACACAGTACACATACCCCCACCAAGGCTACCTCCAAAAAGAATTCACAACCAGAACCACTGATACCCAAAAAACCCCAACTTTCTCTCTCACATGGGCCTATAAATATATGATCGCACCCTCTATGATGATTTGACCGAAAAAGCCGTCGTCATGACTGAGCTCTAGACACCATAAATGGAACTGGGTTGGAGCTCTTCATCTTCTTCTTCAAACTCATCTGACTCACTCCACGGGTTGAAGTTTGGCCAGAAAATTTACTATGAGGATGTGGGTGCTGGAGTTCCGGCGAAATCCGGTGGTGGGTCATCTGCCGGAGGTGGTTTGCCACCTCCTGCGCCGGCCAGGAAGGGGAGGAGTGGGGTGGTGCAGGGTGGACAACCACCAAGGTGTCAGGTTGAAGGGTGTAGCTTAGATCTGAGTGATGCTAAGACTTACTATTCCAGGCACAAAGTCTGTGGTATGCACTCCAAGTCACCTAAGGTCATTGTAGCAGGTCTTGAGCAGAGGTTTTGCCAGCAGTGTAGCAGGTCAGCTTAGATTTTCCTTTATTTTTTAACCAAGCATAGGTTTATTTGTTTATATATTTGTTCCTATTAGACACATTATCCACACACACACACACACACACACACACAGTTGTTTTGTTAATTTGATGCAGTAATGAATTAGGTGTTGTTTATGATGAAAGTCTAATTTTTTATTGGTTTAATTAATAGGTTGCTGTGTTCAAGTTTTGGTTCTTTAATGTTGAAGGGGCTTTTTTATTGGTAGTACATCTACATTGTTTGTTTTGTTGGTTAGGTGTTGTTTTTGATGGAAGTCTAATTTTTTATTAGTTTGATTACTAGGTTTTTGTGTTCAAGTTTTTGTTTGTTTAATGTTGAAGGGGCCTTTTTTTGTTGGTAATTGTAACTTGGAGGATTATGGTAGACTAGATTCTTGGTGGGGGACTCTTAAAATTCTTGTTCATTTGTTTGGTGGTTGGGGTTCTCAGGTGTAGTGACGTGTTTTTTTTGCTACTTATTGTTTGTCTTCTATTTGGGGACTGATTGATGTCTGTGAATTTCATATTGCTGTCGGTGTAGTGGTGTATTTTTTTGGGTAAACTCCATCCACGCCCTTGTAGATAGGCCTAACTTCAACATCACCCCCCTGTCTTCATATATATATATATATATAATTTTTTTTTTAATTGCATATATTATAGATATGCAGACACTTAATATGAAAAATAGTATAAAGTTGGGGATGAATTTTGGTAAAATGTGCATTTTTCGTTAGTCCGACAAACATCAACAAGGATGTCGGTGAAAGGTGAAAGTTCAGAAAAGACAAGGAGTGTCACTGAAGTTAGGCATATCTGTAGTTGTGTGGATGAAAGTTTGCCTATTATTTTTTGTTCTTTGTTGGCAGAGCTATAGTTGAATTTATTTTTATAATAAATTGTATAACCATAGTTGGTACTTATATTGATGGAATCCATTTCTTCTCTTTGTTGCCCTGCTTATCAGGGTAGTAATTTTGGCGTTAGATAGATGCAAACAAAATGCAGGGGAAGCTTGCAAATATTAGTAGAGAACGGGTAACCATGATTTTTAGGCCAACATGGTAATTTAGTAAGATTCTAACATTTTAACTACATATACAATGAAAAGAGTCTTCCACTATTATTCCTAGTATAATGAGACATCAATATTTTCCCCCTTTTCCTCAAGATTTTCCGTAGGAAAGCAGCACTGGGCATACTCCTACTCTTGTAGTGTTTCCCTAATGCTCCAACAGGTTGAGTTAGGGAAATTTGTTTTGGGATGATTGTAACTTGGAATGTTCCTGGCTATTTGTACGTCTTTTATGTTAAGAGGCACTTAGCAATTTTGTCGTGGGCTGCAGAAGTGAGCTTCCTTAGGCACATTAATTTTAAAGCCCAAACATAACGTTGATAGTTGCTGTATATGAGACCACAAGATTGAAACAACACATTATGCATGAACAACCTTGCTTGCAGCTACTAATGTTATGAATAGTCAAATGGGGACTGTATTACATACCTGTTGGATGCACACTGGAGTTTCCTCTTTTCTTTTCCTCATCCAAGAAAAATGTAATGAGCTCTTGGAAAATGGAGGACGCTGTTTTAGTCACTGTGCCGAAGCTAAGGTTGATATGCCAGCTATAAAAAATAGAAGGAACTATGTCGATGAACAAGACAAGGTTCGTTGGGAATGCCAATGGGTGGCTTTACAGGTTGGCCTTTGGCAAATAAGGATTCCCTGATTGATTTAAGAATGTCCTAGTTGAACAACTTTATTTTGCTAGATACTAACTAGTAACTGACACATGCATGCCTGTTGTTTGTTCCTGGTTTATGTTTGAATTGACCGGCCAAGAAAATATGTCATCATAAACAATGGACGGGAGCACACCAGCAGTATGCAATGGACAAAGGCATATCAGTTTTTTGTTTAGAGTAAACTGACTGCACCTTTTTCTCGTTGATTCTCTGCCGGGGATATGCTGCAGACAAGATTCTTGATTGATGAGATTAATTTTCAGGTTCTTGTTTATCCAAATCCAGTAAGTGTTAGCTGAAGCCTTTTTCCAGCACATTAGGCCTTCTCCAGCCTTTACTCGAATTTTTGCTCAAATTTGAGTAAAAAACTTGATTTGTATCAAATCACTCCAATGGAAAAACTCAAAGGTAGTATAGAATATGTCCATTGGATCTTTAAGGGATGGTAAAATCTGTCCATTCAAGATGTGAGTAAAGATTTTAGAATCCTTGATTTGAGTAAAAATTTGAGTCTCTTTTCATTTGATATGAGTTTGATTAAAGAATTTAGAGGTTGTTTTTAGCTTTTTTACTCATTTAAATTTGAGTAAGAGTTTGGATAAGGATTGGAGATGCTCTTAGTCACTTTGATCTTCTTATTCGGAATATCATCATTGTCTTTAGGTAATCACCTCTGAAGTCTTCCTCATTGGCTATTTGCCACAGCTGTTTTGTTAACTGTTTCTTCTTCTTCTTCATTGTTTTTTTGTTTCCCTTGATTATACATTTTATAGGAAACCAAAAAAAGAGTGACAATGAAAAGGTGACTCTTATCACAAAGTGCGTATGAGTCGAGGGAGGGGAAAGAGAAAATGAAAAGATGAAGAAAGTGACGGAGAAAATTTTGTTGCTTTTGAGTTTTGTTCCACTTTTCACTTTTCACTTTTCACATCGTCATAAAATAGGTTTCAAATCTTCATATTTGCTTGCTATTTTTTTTCTTCCAATTATGCTTCACACCCTATCCAATATGACTATTTTTGCCCTTCTCATTGCCCAGTGTTGGATTTGTTGTGAACATGTAGTGCCGTGAACAGTCAACCAAGAAAGAAAATCTAGAATAATAAACACAAGGTTTCATGGTTCGGTAGAATTCTTATCCGTCCATGGGAGAAGCTGATTCTACTATATGAGCATCCCCAAAAGGTTACAAAATATTTATAGGCCATAGTTGAAGACCTTGGTGAGGACCCTAAATCTAATCCTAGTTAAATGTTAGAGCCAATCCGGATAAAACTCATACACCAAATATACATTAAAAGTTCCCGATATACCCATACTATAGTCCCAATACCAACCTATTATTCGGCCTTGACAAACAATCTATATAGTAAGGGAGCTAAGCATTTGAATTTTATATCCACATATTATTCTCATCCATTTCTATCACATCACTCAATTACAAGTTGAATCATTTAATTTTTGATTAACTTGTAATTCAATACAATTTTATTTTGAACATTCTTCGTATATGATAGTGTACAAATGTTCATATTTTTTTGAGGTCATGTACTTTTGAGAAAATTTTGTTTTAAAAAATAATGGCAGAAATTAATTTCAAATTATGTAATTAAAGAAAGGGAAGGAAAGAAAATTGTTGTTTGAGATAGTGCGATCGATTTTTTGGACGCACGGATTTTATGTTATATCGTGTCTTTAAGTACAGGTTATTGGTAGTAGCAGATATGGCCGATGAACTAGTGGGCATCAATACCATTCACCGCTGATCATTGGACTTTTGGGTCTAGTGATTATGAACCATCTACCATTTCAAATAAGATTCGGGAAAGTTTCTTAACTTATTTTCAACTATGCCCATATGTGTCAATTCGGCCCATTCCCTCAAATTCAACTCAACTCAACAGACCCTTACTTCCAATTATTTGGGATTGGTTACAAGAATCTTGTTTTTCCGTCGTGTTCTATCCAGTGTCATTCCCTATTATCCCAAATTATTCCTAATTCAAGGTTGTATGAAGTGTCATTTCTTGTATCATTCTCTCTCATATATGTTGCATATTTTCATTCTATGGACTTGTATATACTTTGAATTGCACAACATTCATGTCATTCCTTTTGTATTTGCATGATGTTCATTTCATGTGCACATTTGAATCTCTCTTTATATTTGCATGAAGATCATTTTGCGCACTTAATCAAAGTTATAGTTTTGACAACTATTTCTTTCTTCATTTCAAGTTAGGTCCATTCTCTTCTATATTTCGCGCCCAAGTTGAGGAAGTGTGTCAAAGATAAGATCCTGTGATTGATGAGCTGAATTTTCATATTCTAGTTCCCCTAATTATGGGATGTGCATTTATGTCAATTACGAAGTTTGTAGGGTCTCTTTGTATTCCCCCCTCTAAGCCCGCTCGTATATGTTGCCAATTCCCTCTCATTTCTTTACTACGGTCTCCTCTTATTCAAAGTTTATCATGTGGGAACACTTGTGAAGTTTGTAGCCCCAATTGCTAATTGTAATGGGAACCACCACCTGCATTTCATTTCAGACATGGTTGAATTGCAGAACTACATAAAACTTGATACGAAGCTGTTGCACTCTGTTTTGGTTGTCTTAAAATGCATTTTGATCACTATAATGACGACAAGGTGTTGTGACATCCATTTTTTTTTTATTGTAATTAATACGTTCTCTTGTGTAACCTGTGCCAGGTTCCATCTGCTGCCTGAATTTGACCAAGGAAAAAGAAGTTGTCGTAGACGCCTGGCTGGCCATAATGAGCGACGCAGGAAACCACCTTCTGGATCTTTACTGTCCTCGCACTATAGCTTTGCTCCCTCTATCTTTGGTTAAACATCACACTAAAATTCCTTTGAAGTTCCTCTTGACCTATTAGAACTGTTGTAAATAACCTGTCTTATGCGTTTACTATAGTTTCTGCTGAATTTGAGTTGCGAATTTTAATGACCATATTGGCAGAAAACAACAGCAGAGCTGGTGGAGGCTTTGTGATGGACTTCACTGCCTATCCAAAAGTTACAGGGAGGGATCCATGGCAAGCTACAAGAGCAGCTGATCGCATTTCTGGCAATCAACTCACTTCAACAGAGAAGTTTCTTCCACTTGCATGGCAGAGCAACTCACAAAATCCTCCACCTGACCTTCTTCTGCAAGGATCTTCAACTAGGACTGGATATCCTTGTAATAACATTCCTCTAGGAGGATGTTTCACTGGAGCATCAGATTCGAGCTGTGCTCTCTCTCTTCTGTCAAATCAGCCCTGGGGCTCAATTAACCGACCCACGAGTCTTGGGGCAAATAACTTTCTGAATGCAGATGGCATGCCCATTGTCCATTCGGCAGTTACGAATGGTGCGGCCATCAATCAATTTCCAAGCACCTCGTGGGGTTTCAGGGGCAATGAAGTTTGTAGCAGTTCACATGGTATGCCTCCTGATCTGGGTCGTGGTCAAATTTCAAACACTGCTAGCACTCACTATTCTGACGATCTCGAGATGGCTCAGCAAAGTGGAAGACACTACCTGGAAATTGAGCACTCTAGGGCTTATGACTCCTCTGTTCAGAACATGCCCTGGTCCCTGTGAGTTCTCCAGTTTTCTCTGGTTTTACGGTCTCTTATGGTGACTTGTGCCAATGTCTGCTTAGCAACTAGTTGACTAATGCGGTCATCTTCTTTGGGATAAACCTAAGATGATTTTTGATGTGTGTTTTGTGCTTTTGTATGACTGATGAACAGGGCATTAGCTTTGTCTCTAGATAACCAGTATGTGGCTACTGTTTGTTTTTATATGACTTTTGTTTCATGAACACTCGGAGATTCTATGTAAGAACCTCCCTCCCGCTGCCCTTCTTGGCTTGAAGTCGAACTGCCTTCCCTACACCCCCACTCTGCCCCTGCACTTCTCTGGTTCGGGCATAGATGATCTCGTTTCAATGTGGATTAATTTCATTCTAACTGTGAGACATGTTTAAAAATAAGATTACTTTCAATTCATCAAGCGATCAAATTTGAACATGCCATGTATTACAAGGAATGCAAGCCCTTCTAACAAGTTTTTGCAAGATCCAAAAACCTGCTGCCTTTTCCGTGAGGTTATCAATGTTTAATTTACACCAACCAGCATAAGAAAGTTATAACACTGAGATACAACACTGGAACCTCACCAATGCAGTTCCAATTATAGTTAAGCGATGTGAAACAATCGAGCAATGCCTGCTTGAGCTCACATCAAGTCCTAGTAACTTGTGGTGCCGAGTTTAGAGCAATGTAACTTCACAACATATGTTCTCTGATACCAAACATGGGAAACTACTCAGATTTGTGCTCATGCCCACTTTAGAAGCAACCTTGATCTGATTGCATTTGAAAGAATTTGTCCTCCAGCTCCTCACTTGTATTCTCGCCAAAGAGGCATTGCCCATTTTGATATGTGAAAGGGGTATGCAAGAATGTTCCACAAAACCCATCGGATGATTAGTTTTAGTTCCTTCCGCAAGTTATTGTTCTTGAACCAATAAAAGCATTTGGGACTTTTGCATTAAGTCGAACCTAGTGGTCATCTTCATTTGTTCCCGGGCAGTTGGATAAGAGTAAATCCATTGATTCATACTGGAGGAATACAAAATAAACAAAATAAGACATGATTTACGGACCAAGAGGGAGGAGGAGGAGGGGTAGGGGGGCCTGGGGAGGCAAACAAAACTAATAGCGCCATCTAGGTTCTAACATTCAACATTCTGACTTCACACTTTCTGATTAGGCATTGCTCAATATAGTAAATTTTAACAGACTCCTACATACCTGACATCCACAGAAGAGACAGTAGTGATATTCATCTCTCAGCTTCATCAATGTAGCTTGCAAATCCTGCATCAAAAAAAAAAAGAAAAAGCAATCATCACTCCACAATGATCTGCTACTAGCTAGAGAAACCAAAATTCAGGTGTTCCATTTAATTCGCTTAAGAAAAAGATTCCTCAATTTTTTCATTCCATTAAATATTGTTAAATTGTTTTATTCTTATATTGGTATATGGGCTGTGCCCTTCTCTGTGTATATTCACTCGTCCCTGCTTCATGGCATATAAAGAGCTTCAGACAAGATTTAGCTCATGTGCCATAGTCAAATAACAACAGACCATATAAAGCAACAAGCTCATGATATTAGATTGCCAGTTGAATCAGTCCCTGCTAGCATGCGCACTCTAATCTATTATCAGAGGGCCAGAACAATCTGAAGCCAGAGACAACAAAAAGATAGAAATTAAGAAAACACAAATCATATCATCCTAAGGATAAAAAAAAATCTTTTATGCCATGGATGTCCCAAAAAGAAGGGGAGGAGAAGATAATGACTCAAACTCTGACAACAATGCTGCAGCAAGGTAGTTGCTCCGCTATCAAAATAAAACAGCAATCAAAGAGGCAGCCCTTCAGAAACAATCACTTTGCCCAAAATAAAGAAACCAGACCCAAGCATCATGTTTTATTTATAAGACAATCCATCCCCCCCCCCCCCCCCCCCCCCCAAAAAAAAAAAACAACGAATCATTAGAAAAAGAGAATGAAGGCACACACGACACTTAAACATCGTAACAGAATAGAACACCACAATCCACTTGGTTAAGTACATATAATTCCTCCTGCCTCCTATCAGAAAATTGATTTCTGTCCATATCATAAATTGGCCCACTATGGCCATGCGACCAACACACCATAAAATCCTGAATTTTTTCAATTGATATACATAAAAAATAATCCAAGGCCGTTCTAGTTGACGAATTGTATAAAGAAAAGTCTGATCGTGATTGCAGACATTCATGTAAGATTATTGAAAAACTAAACTATAACACTAAAGCCTAGAAGAGAAAGAAAAAAGGTGTTTTGGGTATCTAGAATTGGTTTAATAGTTTAATCCATGTCTCTGCCCATTAAGTAAATCTGAATCATAGGAAAACCACATTGAGCTGGTCTAAAAAGAGATTGGGTCTTTACCTGGAGGGCATACTTGAACTAATTTTGCACTGTTGACTTTACCAAACCATGATAAGCATAAAACCAGTCAGTCTTGCCCTCAGTTTGCCTAGTTCTGAGGTTTGCCAAATAGATCCATAACAAAGGTACGGAGCCATTGTGGCTACTCTCTCTCATCGCAAGAAGAAACATTTCCGCTAACAATCCCTCCGGAATTCCATTATTGGTGGATAAGTTAAAAGCCCATTCTAGCTATTCTTTATAGACACCCTTAGTGGCACTCTACAACAATCTAATTATCCAAGCCATACCCCAACACCAGGAAATTAAAATATGATCAAGAAATCAAATAAGAAGCTCTGTCCATTCCATTTCAACAATTAAAGTACTTCCGTGCATTATGATCTCAGGTCAAAGAAAACAATGCCCAATGTTAGCTGCTGAAAAATAGGTGAAAAACTACATACTGTTTACTTTCCATTGTTCACATCTTATGCCCTCAATTCCATTTTGTTTCAATTAATAAAACAGTGAAATCCACATTCTCAAGCTAAGACAGAATTTACACAATTCTAGTCTTAACTTTAATTTTATTCACCAGATATAATAAAGGCAGAGTGCAATGACCAATTCTTCGCATATATATATGGCAAAATTGACTTTGATGATTAAAATAGAATTTTAAATTTTCCTACAGAACCGTCGGATCAAGCACCAATTTGCAACATGATTTATTGCAAAAAGAGGAAACCAATTACCGATTCTTATTCATAGAATCATAGGCGTAATTTGATTCTATTTCAGCAGCTACATAAAACCCATTTAAGCAAAGTTTCCCATTCACAATCTCCATGCTAAATGTTAGACAAAATGAGAATTGACATACAGCTTAGTTCATAAAAATGCTAAAAATTCCATTATTCAAGGATTTACAGCATTCCTGTTTTCACACCAAAACAGAATTGCACACAGTCCCAGTGCAATTTTTCATACTAAAATCAACACACAATAATTATCACTTTATCAACAACAGCCACAATTCAATTTGAGGCAAGCATTAATGAAATCAAAATGGCATCCACTTTCAGCCTAATTTTCTATGTTAACCAGCAAAGCACATCAAAAATATTGAAACAGGTTCACAACTCTATGCACAATGTGCAAGAATCACAAAACCATAAAGATACAAACATATATTTATATTGTCAAAACACTTGAAAAATAATACCTCCTCTGTAATTTCTTCCTCTTCTTCCTCCTCTTCCTTTTCACCATCCTCCTCGTTCTTCTCTGCCTCCACAACCTCCCTATTCTCCAACTGTGCCAACGCTGCCTCTGCCTTCCGAAAATTTACAACAATTCTTCTGCCCTTCCACCGTTCTTTTTGCCGACACCCAAAATCCGCCATCATCTCCTCCTCCTTCCATCTATTTTTCTCAACATTCTCTACCTCTCTCCTCATCTTCTCCTTCCTCGGGTCCTCCCTCCCTATCCCAGCTCGGCCCCGCCTTATATCAATCCCCACCGGCTCTATTCGGCCTGCACCCTCTTTCCCCAGAGCCAATCCAGGAGTATAACCCATCTGCTTCAGCATCTTGAACCCAATATTGGATTGTGGAATAGCTGATTCTAGGTTTTCTAGGGTTAGTTGGTCCTCTTCAATTTGCTTATTCTCTCTCTTGAGTTTTCTTTCTTCTTGCCAGTTTACAGTTTTGGGTTTCTTGTTTGAAGATTGTGATATTAAGCTCTTACTGCTAGAAACCTGAAAGAATGTGAAAATTTTAGGGTTAAAAGAAACAATAGGTGTACACGAACACATAATCACACATATTGTTCACCACCTTCAGTAAAATTTTAGTCCACTTTGGGACTAGGGCTTCTTGTTTAAAGATTTGGAGATTAGGGTTTCGTGATTTCAGACCTTAAAGAATGAGAAATTAAGGAGGTTTTGACTTTAGAGAATTTACGGCAAAAACGAACATACGTATTTAACTATTTTGTAGAAAAGGACTGACCTTTCTAGCAGAAGTTTTGGGAGGGAGAGAGGTTTCGGTGGGTAGAAAGTGAGAGAGATCGCCCATGTAATCTTCATCTTCTGCCATTGATGAGAGCTTGACGAGAGAGAGAGAGAGAGAGAGAACAGTCTGTGGAGTACACAGCCACTAAAATGGAGTTCTGAACAGCGGATCTGAACCTGCTTGGTATATTTTTGGGGGTTAATCTCATTTTACATCCCATAATACTTTTAAATATTAAAAATTTTAATTTATACCCTCAATATTATCAACTGATAGCAATGTGGACATGACTTAAACAGTTGTTTAGTTTTCCATCATAAATTGAAGAATGTGAAGTGCAAGTGCTTCAGACATGAGGATAAAGTATATTTATCGTTATAGATCTTCGTTTACAATCAATTTGATATCGTTTATGTATAGAAAATATAATTTCATTAATCAGATAAAGATTAACCCAATTATTTGTTACTGACGGAGACGCCAATTGTCGTTGAATTTACATACAAGTTTATACCCGAAACACTTTCAACTCACGTGTTTCAATTGATGACGAAAACTAAACTACAGTTAGAGTCAGGTTCATATTGTTACCAATTAATAACCTTAAAGGTATAAATTAAGATTTTTAATTTTTAAAGGTACAAATTAAAAATTAAAGCATTTTTGGGGATAAATTACTCCTATTTTTGGTGATCATAATAAGGCCTCGGCAATTATTTACCACTTTGATACACCATTGATATCAAATTAGTGAGTTTAAGTTTAATTTTAGCGAGTTTGAATAAGAAATATGGCATTTGATCGGATCGGAAAGAAAAGTAATTGAGGTGCACTTCAACTGATTCAAACACTTCTCACCGTTAAAAAAAAAAAGAAGTAAATATATGAATATTCTAAATTATTTGATTAAAGAATCCATATGAATTTAGCTAAAATCGGTGCAAACCCGTTAAATACAACATACACGATTATAAATAAATTGTGATGAGTTAAACAATTTTTAATACGACATAATTAAAATGCAACACCATCCGTCACAACTCAACTAAAATATATTGTGTTTTTTTATATATATTTTTTTTCTGATTAATGGATATTCAACCCATGTAAACTAGGGAGATTCTAAGATATGGAAACCTTCCCATTCAAATTAGTCGCAGGAGGTTTTTTTTTTTTTTTTCTTGTTTAATGATTAAGATTGTTCAGGTAAATTTTGATGAATTCAAAATCAACTGGGCAGGCCCAATAAACCAAAAAGAGCCCCAAGTCACTAGGGCCAAAGACGAGCCCAAGTCAACACCGCCCAAATAGGGGTCACCCAAGACCTGGTGCCGCTCACGAGGGTCCCTCCTGCATCTCCTTCGGTCCTCCTCGCTTTGCTAATCCGACCCTAGTCAGCCAGGAAACCCAAGGTAATAGGAGCACGTGGGAGAGAATATCGGGATACGGAGATCTAATTCTACTTTAATTTTTTTTTTTTTGGTCAAAAATTCTATTTTAATTATACTTACCAAAATAGTAGAACCCTCTCCCTCATGTCACTGCCTCACCATACCTATATAATGTAAGTCTTCTTCATATAAAAGGCATAACTTTGAGATCACACACTACACCTCCTTACACATATTGCTTCTTTTTCCAAAAACATTGTAATTCTCTTGGAGTATACTGTACCCGTGACTTTTATTCATCAATAAAACACCTCTGACCACCGCCGCCGTTTTTTGAGAGTGGAGTAGGTCACCTGGATTGAACCACTATAAATCTGTGTTTGCTATTATTTACTGTTTTGCTATAAATTGCCTATTTATTGCTCATTAATTGCATCCTTACATATACTCGACTGTTGATCTTCTGCAAAACCAATTTGTGCATCATCAAATTTAACTAATCTCCTTCCCAATCTAATGAAGAAAAAAAGTTTTAACATCACATATTATGTTACAAATTAAAAACACAACAACAATTGAATGTCATAATCTTTCTCTTTATAAAAGTACAACAATAGTTGAATGCCTCGATCTTTCCAGGGTCTTTGTTTAATCTTTGTCAATACTCTTCTATATTCATTCTTTTTCCTAAAGTATTACTACGGTGATCCTCCATTAAGAGTATTGACCCAAGCCTAAGTTTCTTGTTATTCTAAAACTTTGTTCAACCCTATTCAAGCCTTTCCTTACTCTTCTAGGTGATATTCTTGTTATCTTTTCGACTTAAGTTTTCACAACATACTTAAGATGGCTATGATATGTTTTTTTTTTGGTTCAATGGGTAAGGGTGTAGCGATTAACTTACACACATCTCGACTAATTCCCTCTTTAATCCAGTCAAAAACATACCATTTATGTCGGGACTACAACATTCATGATGAATAAATTTTACTATACCTTTTTTAACATTGTATTTATGATAATTTTTGCTCTAAATTTAAAAATAAGTTTGGAGACAAGGAAATATAGAGTTTTGATTGCTTTAAAGCGAGGAGCTTAACATGGAGGGAGGTTATAGACCCTCCTAAGATCCATAATATGGACTCGTTTGATATAAAGAGCAATGTGGTGAGTTTTAATATTATGTGAAATTCACTTTTAATTCAATAGTTGTATTGAATTAGATAATCAATTCAGGTCTAAGTAGCATTTTCTTTGATATAAAAATTATGAACTGATTCTCATGATACTAATAATTTCACCCAACTCTGCTTTTGATGTTATCCAGGTATGAAATTAAGATAGGTTAGAAAGTTTTATTGAATTAAAAATGTGTCTAAACTTGAAAATTTGTGATATAATTGATAGTTTGGACCCATTACTATGGGGGGAATACATTTTTTTTTTTGCCTTACTCCACAAAAAAAAAAAAAATTAAAATTCAACCCACAATTGAAATACTTGAAGGAACACCACTTGCTTTTTTATTCTTCCACTTTTTTTTTTTTCTTTTCTTTATTTTTTGTTGTAAAAAAATAAAAATTAAGAGAAACTATTTTGTATTATGTTGTCTTTTTTGCATGTCAATGGATCGGGTTTAGATGAGATTTTGATTGATTCGAATCCGATCCGATAATATGACGTTTTATTTTTGTGGTTTATATCTGAATTTATTAACAATTTGAAATTTGATTCGAATAATTTAATTAACTAATTTTAAACAAATTATACCTAAATTTCTTTAATAATCATATAAAAATAAATAAATAATTTAAATTGGATATAAGTATATTTAAATTCGAATCCAAATCTATAAAATATAATCGGATTCGACTTATCGGTAAAAAAATATTAAGTCTATTATTTAAATTTGAATTTGAATTAAAATCCGATCCATTAGGAGATCTAATTTCCTCTCATCAATACAAAAACTATTAACTTGATAATCCTTTCATAGTCAACTAGAAACTATTTGCTAAAAAAATGAAATTTGAATTCGAAACGGAATTATAATCATTAGACTAACCCTAACCTCTTTAAATGGATTACTAATCAAAGAAGGGCTTATTCTTTCTTTTCTTTCTTTTTTTAAGAAAATAAAAAGAACTTTTTTTTTGGGCACTTCAATCAGAAAACGGACGTTGAAGATTGCAGGGGAACAGAGACTGGGGAATTGTTAGCACCACAGACGGTAAGCACCCCGCAGACCATCAGGCATCAACTGGGCACGTGTATATAACTACCTAACGGTTTTTTCTGACGTGGCAAATGACTCAGCAAGATTCTTTACTGCTCTCCTCTAAAACCCACTTCAGGCACAGAACTCTCTCTCTCTCTCTCTCTGCAGAGAAACGATTATTGTACGGTATTCCCAAAACCCTATTCCTGTGTTGGAAACACAATGTACATACATATGTATATGGGGTTCTTGAGAGTTCTTTAATATTTGTTTTTGTTTATGTTCTTGAACATGTTGTACGCATAATAGTGAGTTTGTGAATTTGGTCTTGTATGTGTTTGTGTATATATGAGGGGGTGTGTGTGAGAGAGAGAGATTTAAGCTCTGAAAATATTGAACTTGGTGTGCTATTTTGTGTTCTATCAATGTGTACTTGTTCTTGAAGATTGTCACCCAGTATAGATACTTTTCTTGGTTTTCACATTATTCTGTTACTGCTTCATTACTTCATCATCAATATAATGTCTTGAGGTCTCTGTTTGCTTGGGTTTCAATTGTTATCGTGACGATTTCTTGCTTTGTTTTCAGAGACCCAAGTGGAATTTATCTCTGCTTCTTGGGAAAATGACTAAGTGGTATCTCATTGTACTTGTTTTCTCGGCAATTCTAGCTTCACATGCTTCAGCCCATACCGATCCTCTCGATGGTACTTCATTCTCTCTTCTCTTTTCCTCTTTGGGGAGTTCTTGAAATCTCAAAGGATTTTTTTTTAATCAGTCAATACAATGACATTCTTGATTTCATTTATCAATCCTGGAATTTTTTGATCTTTTTACAGTGGTGGTTAATTGATAAAATTGTGCATGATCATCATCGATTGCGCATACATAAAATTGTGAATAACTATTCTTGACGACATTGATGAATTATTTGTAACAATGCATAATTTGCCATCATATTGAAGATCTGGCCTGAATATGAAGTATAATTCTAGTCTAAGGACTCATGCAGTGTCGGTCGGTCAGTGTTTTTTTTGATACTATGAAGATGGTTGATAATATGGATGGTAGGCACTGATCATAAATTCAGATAATATATACATAGAGGGGTCGAGGCCGATGAATGGAATTGGAAAAAACACAGATTGTGTTGATTAAGTGGACCAATCAAGTTCGCCCTAGACATGAGCAAAAAGATGGGATAGTATTCTTTTACTATTTTTTTTGTAGGACAGAACTCCCTGATAGACTAATTTTCTACCTCACTATTGCAGTCCAAGCTCTTCAAGATCTGTATGCAGCCCTAAACAGCCCACCACAGCTCAAGGGATGGAAATCGAATGGTGGGGATCCATGTGAAGAATCATGGAAAGGAGTTTCATGCTCTGAGTCATCGGTTATCCATATGTAACTAACTACACATTGCTCCATTGGTAATGTACTTACTGTCATGTTTAACGCCAATTTGAGAAACTGATCTTTACTCCCACCATTGCAGTTCACTTAATGGACTAGAGCTCAGTGGAGGGCTTGGGTTCCAGCTCTCCAATCTCCATAGTTTGAAGCAGCTGTAAGTTCTGCTGGTTTATAAATTGTAATTTCTTTAACTGCAATTATGGAGATTTTGATTTGCCATCTGTTTATTTCTCTGCATGGTTCTTTGGGCTAGGGATCTTAGCTCCAACCACATTCAGGGTGAAATTCCATACAGCTTACCTCTTAACGTCACTCACTTGTAAGAATGGACTTCTTACTGATACTGTTATACAGTCCAGTTACTTCCATACACTATAAACTGATTTACCCTCATCTTTTTTCTTATTTGTTCTCTTTCTTTTGAAAACGCAGAAACTTGTCATGCAACAATTTTAGCCAAAACATTCCCTACTCCTTAACTTCCATGAAGAATCTTCGGCATCTGTGAGTTGCTTTGTCATCTGTGAGTTACTTGAATTCACTATAAATTGATTATTGAGCCAGAACTCAAAAGAGTATTTCTTGCAGGAACCTTAGCTACAATGCGTTATCTGGGCCTATTGGGAATATGTTCACTGGCCTGCAGAATCTAAGAGATATGTATGATATTTGCTCAACTTTCTCTTCTCAATTAATGGAAAACACTTGCTTAGATGTCTAAAATATTGTCAGTATGTCTTGGCTATGAGTTTGAGGCCATATTTATTGGTGCAGCCAATACGTAATATTGGTTTGCTCACAAAATTCTGATAATATTTATGCGTAATAGGTGAATTAATGATCTTCTGTTGCTTTTAGACCTTCCTCCTATGTTTATTGGATTCTGTGGTGGTTAGTCTTCTTACGGTATTATGGACAGAGTGACATAATATCTCTTGTCTTTCTTCTCAAAGATCTTAACATGCTGTCTCAGGGATTTGTCATACAATAACTTAACTGGAGATCTACCTAGTTCATTTGGATCTTTGACAAATCTTACAAGATTGTAAGTTCTTTTTCTTCATTCAATTTTTAACTCGTGTTGTCTGTATGCAGTTTTCATATCGTGTTTGTTCCATGTCTGGTTTTGGGTCCATTTGCAGGTTTTTGCAGAGCAATGAATTTTCTGGATCAGTAATATTTTTGTCTGACCTCCCACTGTCTGATCTGTAAGTTTTTCTCTATAGCAAATCTTAAACTTCTTTTGAATGTGTTTTAACCCACATATGCTGTCAGGAACATAGAAGACAACAATTTTAGTGGTGTTATTCCAGAGCAATTTCAAAATATACACAATTTATGGTAAGCTAGCAAAATCCTTGCCATAGTTTGCTTTCTTTTGCAGGCATTAATCGCCTAACACTGATTCATTACTCTTTAATTTGGCTCTTCATGGTACACAGGATTGGGGGTAATAGATTCGAGAAAGGAAGGAACTATAAACCCTGGAATTTTCCTTTGGACTTTGTGCCCAATGAGCCGAATATTAGTAGTCCACCAACCAGCGAATCAAGTGCCATTGAGAGCTATCCCTCTCACAAAGACAGCGGATACAAAAAGAAAAGATTAGGTGCTGGTGGAATAGCTTTTATGGTTGGTGGAGGTACTCTAGTGGCAACCTGTGCAGCACTTGTCATTGTGGTCCGTATTCATCTAGCTAGTGCAAGAAAACTCAGAAAAACGGAGAGCATTGAGAGTTCGCGACCTTCTATTCCAACCAATACAGCCAGAGGTGAGATCAATGTATACACATCATCATACAAAATATGCGTCAGCTTTTTTTGTGCATTCTAGCAAATGATATTAGTGGTTATAGTGCAAAATGAGTATGCATTTAATGTTTTCTAATATGAATTGCTAATCTCTTTGGTGTTTAAGTTGAAGTTTTGCTCAACCAATCTTATACCTATATGAAGCATATACTCTTCTTCACCTAACGTGGAATACGGGGAAAAACTTCCCCGTATTTAATGATGAACTGAAGAATATTACTGTATCCTACTGTCTTGGTTAGATGGATATAGTCACAATTGATGACAACTGAAATTCCCCATTCACTCTTTAACTTCTTGGTATTTTTCAAATATATACATATAGCAGAACTTTATCCCAATACTTTGATGCCTAACCTAATATGAAAGGTAAACTTCTTAGTGTACCAAGGTCACTAAAAACTTCACTGAATATACAGTTTCTGTATATTTATGCACATTTAGTTTAATGCTATCAATCCACTTATCATGCTGCATAGTTTCTTTTGCGCAGTATGTCTTACAGATTACTATTTGTGCTATTCTATAATTTGGCATAGATTATTATTTTACTGCTCCGGAGGAGAGCCCACAAATCTTGGGTATAAACTCTCCTCCAATGATTGCCCCAAGACATCTACCTCCAATTCGTACAAGAACCGTGAGAGTGTCTAGAAGAAGTTTTTCTAAGAAGTTGAAGATCCCAATTTTTGCACGACTCTACACCGTGGCAGAGCTTCAATCAGCAACAAATAGCTTCAGTGAAGAAAGCCTTCTTGGAGAGGGATCCCTTGGTTCTGTATACAGAGCAGAATTCCCCAACGGACAAGTACAAACTCGAACTTAAAACCATCTTGTAGGTTATAAAACAGTAAAATGAACAATGGTTCTTATTGGACATACTGTTCTTTCTTTTTGCAAGATTTTTGCTGTGAAGAACATCAATACAGAAGCACTGTCTCTTGTTGAAGAAGAACAATTCTTAGAAGTGATTCGAAATGCAGCCCGTTTGAAGCACCCAAACATCGTAACACTTCTTGGATATTGTGTAGAACATGGTTTGCATCTCCTTGTGTATGAGTATGTCAGAAACTTATCTCTCGATGATGCTTTGCATAGCGAAGCATTCATGTCTCTGTCCTGGGCCCTCCGTCTCCAAATTGCTGTTGGTGTAGCTCGAGCCGTGAAGTAAGTTTTTAGTGTGTCTATTGAGTATCAATTTTTTATTTCTATAGAGATCTCCACAAGTTCTCTATTACCTGTGGATTTTTTTTATTATTATTATAGAAAATCCAGTTATTCTGCTTATATAAGGCATTGATGGGATCAATTTCTCATGTTTTCAGCTATTTGCACACTGCATGTGTGCCTCCTCTTGCTCATAGCAACTTAAAGGCCGCTAACATTTTGCTTGATGAAGACCTTACGCCTCGTGTCTGTGACTGCGGGCTGGCTGTTCTGAGGTCCCTTACCAGCAACAGTGTTAAACTCAAGGTACATTCTACACTAGACATCATATTTGTCTGTTGGGCAGCATCTGGTAGTTTTTGGCTGAATATAAGTTGCTTTCAGAACTTGTTTCCTTAGCAGAACAGAAGGCGGCCCATGCCAACCCCACCCTCTACTTCTCTATCCCCATTCCAACACCCTTTAAAGAAAATAAAAAATAGACCTGATTCGGAAGAAGAGAGTCACTTACACATCTGCTCATGAGTGTAATTGTGCGCAAATGAAATTAGAACTGCACAAATATAAATTCTTTAGCATCCATAAACTTCATTAACCAAATTAGAAAGCTGCTACACAAAGGCAATGAAAGTATAGTATACAGATCAGTTTCGGGTGCAAGTTTGTTTGATAGATAATGACTATGTGTTGTCATTGGTGCAAACAGGCTTCTGAAATGGCTATCCGCGATAGTGGCTACATTGCACCTGAACATGAGCAGCCTGGAATTGGTAATACAAAGGGTGACATCTATGCTTTCGGAGTGTTGCTTTTAGAGCTACTAACTGGGAAAAGGGCTTTTGACAGGTACAAATTCAACACATTCATGCAATTGATTTTTTTATGATGCATGTCTGTCATCATGTTTATTGATACTTTTTGCTGTACTTTTTACAGTTCGAAACCAAGACAAGAGCAATCTCTGGTAAAATGGGCTTCGTCCCGGCTTCATGATAACAGATCTTTGGAACAGATGGTTGATCCAGCCATTAAAAGGATGATTTCCTCCAAGGCTCTCTCTAGATATGCTGACATTGTCTCTCTCTGTATTCAGGTATTGACATTTTGAACTCATCCTGCATTACAGTTACTTTTGAACTCATCCTTTATGGACATTCATTTAGATACAGTAACTCCACCAGCTGAACCCCCCCCCAACCTCTACCACCACCCAACCCTCACCCACTGCCACCCCCACGGTTGCTGAACATGTAGAAAAAATTGACAACCCAATGCTTTATCATGAGATTTATAACCACAGTTAACCTGCATTGCAGTTACTTTTGAAGTCAAACCTTGGTGGACATTCATTTAGATACATTAACATGCATTTTACCTCTATGATCAGGAAATCAACTAACTTTACGTCTGAATGTAAACAGCCTGAGAAGGAATTCCGACCACTGATGTCTGAAATATTGGAGTCTCTGACATGTCTACTACAAAATCCCAGAACAGTCAAAAGCATTCCAGCAGATGGCACTGAAGGTGCCGACCCTTTTGAGAGGTCTTTCCGTTCTACTAACACCAGCTTCTTCGGGTCGCCTACCGTGAGCTATTTGTCCATTTGATATTCAGGATCTCTACCATCAGCTCATCAATTCTTTTTATGTTGTTACTGTTTTGTGATTTCAGTTTTGAGTGCTCTTAATACAAGACTTCAATACTTTTACCTCAACATTCAGATTTCACTTGTACAGCTTTTGAACTCAATTCCATAACTCATTTACTGAATGTATTTCTCCAACAGAGCTTCTGTAATCTTTAGTGTAATCCATTTGTGTGCATCCGAATAAACCAACCTCATTGGTAGGGTTGTGCCTTCTTTCTGCCTAGTACATTTTGTTCAAGACGGGTCGTTTGCTTCAAATTTTGTAACGGCATAAACGATGGTCACCTCTCGATTTATGCAGTAAATGCATGTGGTAATAGGGCAGAGAAACCATAGCAGTCTTAAGCTTCAAACATTGTAACATTAAACCAAGTGATCATCCCCTCAAGCGATACGTCGTAGGTTTCAACTCAGAAATCAACCTCTCAAAAAGAGGAAAAAAAACCTACCTACCACCACTTACAACTCCCAAAGACCCGTGATACATAGTGCACTGGATACAACATTTTTCTCCTGAGGTAAGCTTGTGCTCAAGGACCCTGAAGGTGCCATTCTTTTCTAGCTCGCATGAACTGTCTTGTTAGAATTTGGAATCTGGCTTCCATCTGGTGTATTTCACTACCTGCACATTAGTGGTATGATTCGAAGTCGAGGGATGGTTTCAAAGCAGCAATGCAGCAAATCAACATGGTCAGAAAGGCCAGCCCAACAATGCAGTATTTCCAACTACATTTGCTTAGGTATTTCGTGGTTCTTGTGAAGACAGACCCCTGGAAAATGTCTCATTCGATAAAGAGAAGACCACAAAAAAAAAAATGGCAGCAAAAAAGTCAGCAGAATTCTAGGATTAAAACTGCCGAAAATTACCAACACAACAACAAAAGCTTAAGCTATGTAGAAAACAACAGGATTTCCTTGTCGCATGTACAATAATCTTAAATAAATTGGTTCTTCATAAACAATAAGGTTGATCTGCATGTTCTATAGAATGCAAAAAACCAATGCAACTACTTGAAGAAAAGGATAATTTCAAACTACACATCCCACAGAATTTCAAGTATTCATAAATTATGATCATTGTGAACCCATTGGCGGATAACTGTTAAATGTTCAAGCTGCTGAACATAACCTAGATAGGAAAGCATAAGACTTTGATCCTTGGAGTTCAGAACCTTCACAATGATAATGATTTTAAAATTTCCCAGGTCAGAAACCCAAATTCGTCACCTTTAATTAGCAAGGACTATTTAATTGACACATTGCTTGGGTGCATCACGCACTCACGGTACTACTTAACAGGGTATTAATCTCTCCAACAATATTGACTGGTCTTCCATCAAACATGGATGAAATTGTACTCTCACAGAGCATCTTCAGCTTCCTGGTTTTTGTCAGAGCTGCTTTCTGCAATTAAAACAGCAGAAGTAACTTATTATACCACCCCCGGAGAGAGACAGATTTTGGTTGGTTATTCAACCGTTATTCCTTAAGAAAAATAATTGAACATATTGTTCAAGAGATCTGTATTTCACAAGAGATACCAAAAACGATACCAGAATAGACAACCCAATAAAGTACAACATTATTTTAAATATACCCTACTTTTTGAAAAGTATCACATGATAACTTCTCATTTCAGACTAAGTTATATTCTCTCTTTTCATAAGGAACGGAACTCGGCATTTCATAAAACATTTATGCGCCTCACATTTTCTCCCTTTGATGAGTAACAGACCACATACCCATGGGAGCAATGGTTTAAAACCCAGCCTGGCCCCCGGTGGGTTGACCCGGTAACCAGTAACCCGATACCTGAACCGGGCCGGTTTTGTCTTTACATCATTTGAGCCATAGAACCGTTGAACCCGTATCAAACCGGACAATTTTCTAGAACCCGTTGCAAATCGGACGGTTTGCACGAATCCAGTCAGAGTAATTTCTGTCATCAACTTTATTTTTATTAATATTAAAACTCTGTTTTTGTCTTAAGCTATGTAGTACGAACACGGATACGTAATATGGGTAGGGTATGATACGAATACAGTAATACGACAAAATCTAAAAAAATAGGATACGAGTACGGCTAGCATACGGTTATAATAAAATATCTTTAATATTTTTATTATTTTCAACCAACTTAACACTTATATATTTTAGTTTTTCTTTAATATATAATAAGAAAAATTAATAATTCTTTTTAGTTTCAAGAAAATATATATCGTGTCGCTGTGGTATATTCACAAAATATAATAACTTTACTATATGGCCTTTTGACATGTAATTATAGATAATACTTAAAAAACACTCATGTGCCTTTGAAGTAATATGAAATTTTTGTTAATGTATTGTATAGTATGTGAATTCGAAAAGAAATATTAAAAGTTCAACTAAAAAATTATACATGTTACTCTACTACAAAAGTATCCGTGAAGTATCCTAATATTTAATTATTATCGGATACATAGAAGGTATATCCGATACGTATCATCGAGTATTGTATATGATACGGTATCTGATACGGGTACGTTAACCTCAACAAAGTAACCGTGCCTCATAGGTCTTAAACCAGTCCACTTCGCTCAGCTCACCAGCTGGAGTTAGTAGAAGCCTAGAAGGCTTTGAAGCCGAGACAACAGCAAGCCGACAAATGACCTGCTGGTCTTATAGGCACACAGTCCCTTGCCGCTTCTTGTGGGTTTCCGATATGGGATCATATGTAGTGTGGTTAAATTGTGCTCTACTTGTTTTTCTATTTTTTTGATACCTTGAGCTTTTTTTTTTTCTTTCAATTTTTATTTTGTTTCTTTTTTGGGTCATCACATTCTTACTATTTATACCAAATATTCAATGCTTATTAGTGAATTTTTTATGTTTTACCAAATTATATCAATTGTGTAAGCAAATTAATGAATTGAGGATATTTTTGTCTTTCTATTTCATTTACTATAGCCTAAAATATGTTATTTTTGTAACCATTATAATCTTTTAATTTATTTTACTAATTATTTTTTATTATTCATTATATGACTGGTTCAACTGATTGACCCACGGTTGAACTAGTGACTCATCGACCTGGTCCCTTTGCCGGATTGATGGTCGAGCTGGGTTTAAAAACTATGCGTGTGAGAACCGGTACCCAAAACCTGAGCAGCCCCTCGTTAAGGCAGTGCATACCACTCAAGCTAACAGCTAGTGGTTCCTTATAACAACTATTGAACTAGTATCATGTTTCTCTTTGAAAGACCTATGCTTAGCAAGTGTTCTGGTCCACATATAACAAAAGTTCATATTATCTAAAAGCATGGACAATTTGAGTCCACAAACAAAACAGACTTACTTGCTTTGGCCACGATAAAGATAACGAATTGTGCAGCTCCATACGTTTGGTAGATAAGTCCTTCAAGCCCTCCTTTAACTTCACTTCATGGTGCTTCTTTTCCTCCAATATGTTAACCAGTCTATCCAGAAATCTGAAATTCAGATACATACCATAGTCAATAATTATGCTACTCATTAGAACTGCATAGTGGTGACTGGAGAGAGAGGAAATAAAGGGAAGTAAGGCATCAGTACTAGAACATAGAGCTTCTAAACATGTCACAGCAGAAGATAAAAGAAGATCCCATACAATTATCATGTAATTTTTTTTGCTTTGCATCTTCTAGAAGTTCTTCTTGGTATAGATAGGTAATAAAAACAATCAAGTCAGCAGATGAACACAAAATGCGTCAACCCCGTGCTATGGGAATGCTAAAATAGAATTTGACATGCTAAGCTTTGGTCCTCTGCTTTTCTGATCTCTTGAATAAAGCTCTGTGATAAATCATAAATGAAAGAAGTATTGAACAAATCTAAACAATCTATTAGCACCTTTTCGAGTTGAGAATCATTATCAAGTCCCTTGTTTTCCTATTTGTAAGCAAGGAAATGGCTGATGAAACATCAGATAGCATTGTATGAATAGCATCAGAAGTGTATTGTTGCAAAATGAATGGAGCTACTGCCTGAACTTGATTTTGTAGAGACAAAGTCTCTTCATTCGTCAACTCCAACACCCGCTGATTCAAGAATGCCTTAATCTGACAACAGAATATCAACAGAAAACATCAACCAACCTACATATGCTTTTCTCCGATAACAGAAAGTCAAAGGCAAACCAATAAGATTACTCATGGCTACATTAGTACTCCTATAAGATTGTATCGACTGGAAATGTCAAGAAGCAGGAAAAAGAAACTAGCTAAAACCATCAAAACAATATGGGCTACTCCAATAGAGCATAAATTACACGTGCTTACCTCAAATAAATCGTCAAGAATCTTATTCCTGTACGCTGTCTCCAGAAGCTGGCTCCTTTGGGTGTTTTCTCGGCTTTCATTCAATGTATTTGAAACAGATACATGAGGTTCTATTACTGCATTTGGCAAACCAACTTCTTCAATTGTATCAACTTGAGGGTTCTCAACACCAATATCCCAAGATATATCTGACACAGCGACCTCTGGAGCTGAGCCCTCTACTTTATTTAACAAGGTCTGGTCTGCTCCATCACCATTTGGAGAAGGGTTTGGTGGAATCTCACTGGCATTGACGATTTCATAAGGACCCAATCCATTCACAATATCTTCTGTTTCTTCCACATCGGCAATATCCCAATCGATATTAGAGCTGTCCAAGGTAATATCCCAATCAATAGTATCAGCTGCGGCTGCAATGTCTATGTCCCCCGTCATGAGATTTACTTCATTCAGGCTTGCCTGAATTTTGTCAGAATCAAGAGCTTCTTCAGAGATCACAGAAACATTTAAAGAAGGGGGATTTTCCAAGATGTCCCTCAGATTTGGTAACACCGTCACTGGGGCTTTCTGCAATCAGATCAAACAACAACTAAAGTTAGTAATGCCATGCATCATAATGATCCCAATCTCCATCTGCATGTCAACAAAATATAATATGCTTTGTCTATACATTTCTAGCAATAATTTCAAGACTAACGAATTTAACCATAGCCTTACATCCTTTTCTGTATGAACATCTCTGACAAAGTCTGAATAGAAGTCAACAGCCCGTGACACAGAATCACCATTTAAAACTTCCAGAATCCTGCTAAATGTACTCGGAAGTGATTTTGTTGCAGTTTCTAGCAGTTCCCACCTTACATTTATACCCTGGAAACCACAAGAATAACATTTGTGCGTTGGGTCAGAAAAATAACAAAAAAACAACAAAATTGATGACCATCAGCATCTCAACGCAAAACCATTACCTGCAATCCTAGAGCTAGACAAGCCTCTGCATATTTAGCTGATGAAAGAGCAGCATTTCTTTTAATATCAGCTTCCTTGCGCTCTAGTTCAGCAAGTTGTTGTTGAGTTTTTTGGACCTGCTTTTTCTGATAGGGGCTTGAAATACACAATACAACCAATCAATTAGAATAATGACTCTAGCCTTAATAAATGCTGCAGCAAAATGTTTTAGATTAAACCATATGTGCTCACTTACATTTCATAATTGACATTTTGGACCATTTTCTGAGCAGCCTCACCAAGGTAAATATAGTCCTTCTCAAAAGCTTGCACAATTGCCTCCCAAACTCCCTGTCAAAGGCTAACGTATAACTAACACATAAAACCAACATGAGGAGAGACAGAGAGGAGGGAAGTGTCTTTGCAGATCTTACAGCAGCACCTGAAAGCCGACCAAAAATATTACGGCTTTCTGGAGTTGACTTCAGAAGAATATCATAGATTTCTTTGGCTTCCAAGTAACCAATCTCTGAAAACAGTTTGTAAATCATCATACAAGAAAACAGTAAAAATACATAAGTCAGTATTGCATGGCATGATTCATTTGCGCTTCATTTGGACAAATAAATTCCTACTTCTTAACCGGGAAATCCTGAAGGTTTTGTACACAGCCATTTCATGGAAACACCTTTTCCTAAGATCGGGCATGATTTTTGCATTTTCATTATTTGCAATATTTATACATTCTATGTGTTCTGATATACAAAATAGTACATCTAATACAACTTAGCAATGGCAAATGAATTGTAATATCAGGCTCTCAGCTACCATGCTTGCAATTGGAAGACCACCCTTGCCATCTTGATGCATGGTCTGACTGATAAAGATAAATAGAAGACAACTACAGTTTGGTAAAGAACGCCTAATTCTTGAATTAAACTAATTTGCAGTAGGATCATATATTTTTCTACAATGTTCTAGATCAACACAAGCATACAGGCGGGCCTTATTCCAATCATGGTTCAAGGTCATAGTGTCAACCATCGACTCGGAGGGCACTAATACACAACGGTCGTGGCGTTGCGGCAGGTATTGGCCAATACACTCAAAAGTAAAATAGACGGCCCAAATTTTTTTTAAAAAATATGAAAAATTCTAAAAAATATAAATAACAGATTGCATGCATCATAGGTCCAAAGTACATCCCAACAAACACATGAAACACAGTGAAAATGAAATGTAGGAGTGCTACCAAAGCTTTGGAGCCATTCTAAAAAATTAAGAATCACATATCAAGAAATTGTTAAGCTTTAATATATATATACTAGTCATAACCCGCGCCTGAAATCACGATAAAATATAAAATTTGAGCGTCCAAAAAATCGATCCCATTATATTAATTTTTTCAAAATATATTAACTACAAATTAATCAAATATTAAATGATTAAATATATGATAAAAATGAGTGATGTGATGTTTTTATGAAAGAAATATATAAATGATTAAACATATGATAGAAATAAGTGATGCGATTTGACGTTTGAATCTGACAAAAGGACGATGGATGAGATAAGTGATTGATGATGGTTTTAAGAGGGACAATATGACTGGCACAAAATTCAAACACACTCTTATTTTATTATATAGATATATATATATATATATATATATATATATATATATATGATTATTTTGAGTATATTAGGATTTAATATTAATAATTTTTTAAATTAGATATAACAAATAAATAAGCACATTGTATCCCAACACTAAAAAAACACAAGAAATTATGTTCATTGATGTATGTCTAACATGAAGTGGAATTATCATATGTCCATTAATGATCAAGAAAAACAAAACAAATGCATAAAGTTAATATGTGTAGGAGATTACCAAAAAATTACGGAAAATAAGACAAATTAGAAAAAGAAAAAAAAAACAAAAATTGAGACAATCAACAATTAAGGGAAGCGAACTCTAGGCCAATGGTCTTTACCCTAGCCTTTGACATTTAGGTCTAAGAGAGAGGGAGAAAGGGGGAGAGAGAGAAGAAGATCAACGATGCCATCAAAGTGTCGACAGCTACGTCTCTATAGTGAGACTAGAACAGGTTCACCGATAAGTAAAAAGAGAAGGAGAAGAAAAGGTTTTTAATTCAATGCAAAGGATACACGATTTTCAGTATATGTTACAAATTTCCCAAAATTTATGTTAAGATTTATAAGTTTGGGTCTCACGCTCACTCCAACCCCTATTTTGCTTATATAAAGTGAAAGGGGTCCGCTTTAAGGTTCAATTCTTGGACAATTGCATTTGGGTTTCTACTATTAGGGTTGAAAAATGGCAGAGCATCTTCAGTGATTTTGCTTTCTTTCCCATCAATCCATTTATTGTGTGAATTTTTGTTCCAAGTTGAGTCTTTTTCACAAATATGGGTCTCGTACTTCATCTTTTTTGACTTTTTCCTTTGACATTTTCTATGTTATATGAGATTTGATGACGAATCTGTGTGTATTGATTCAATTAGAATGCGAATCGTACGAGTTAAACCAAGTTGCATGAGTTGTACTGAGTCATGACCGATTCACGTGAGACTCGTGATATTCCCATAACGTGTATTATTATCAAATTGTTACTGGCCGAGACAAATCCGACACGGTTGAATTTTATCAGACTTAGTCGATTCTTCGAATCCTATTTCTAACTATTTTCATTGTGCCATATTATTCTCCGGTGAATGGACATTGAAAACATTTTGAGTTTTGTACCAGACATTTTCTATATTGTTCCCCATTATTCCTTGCATCATTCAACTAGCAAGTGAAAGACATTTTCTACAGACAATTAGCAAGTGAACACATATGGAGTAATTGTTCGGGAAAAATAAATAAAAAAACATAAAATTTTCCATTATATAGGTGGAGAAAATGGAAAATTGAAATAGAAATACACCATGCCTTCTAGCAATAAATCAGTAAGAAGTTGTGATTAACCTCATTATTTTAATTTGTTAGTTCTTATGCATAAACATAGACATATTTTACTTCAAACAAACATAGGTATACCTATATCCATGTACCTTATTTTCTCGAAGCTTCGAAAAAAGAAGGCAAAACATCCAGTGACAATGGCGTGTTTTTAAGAAAAGTGAAAAATAATTAAATGAATAAACAAACCACACATGAAAGTAAATTCAACATATCTGCCATCTCATGTCCACACCTATTGGAACTTTGAAGCCCCTGAATCCATGATGTACTTTTCCTACACATCCTTAGTTTTATTTCTAATGAACCCCTTAAGGAATGAACCATCTCATCCCTAATTCTTTTCTGGAAGCAACATCTCATCTACAATTGACAAGACTATTCTCCATACTTAAATTACAGTTGTGGGTGCTTTTTAACATGAAACTTTTGTTCTCAAAGATGCTTGTATACTAGACGTGTTTTCCAGCTATTTCTAGTGTATTTCCTTTTTAATTGTGTCTTCTTTACCCTTCCTATAAAAACAACGAATAATATCAGTCTCCAATCCCTTAAAACTACGTAGTTCAGTTGAGCCTGTACTGCAACATGCGTCATCAAGCTCCCAATTTCTCTTCCAAAAGAAACAGTGTATAATTCATAACAATATTCACAATTTATGACACAATACATGAATCTTACAAGATTACAAACCTTCAGGGTCTAGGGTTTGAAAAAAAGGATCAACGTCCTTGGGCAGCGATGCTAACGCGGACGATATCTTCGTCCTCACCGCCGCCAGTCGTTTTCGGTAATCTGACGGTATTCTCTTCCGATCAACCAACCATTCTTCAATCAGAATCACAAAAATGAACTCAATTACAATATAAAGATTCACCAATTCACGGCTCGTCAAGAAAGAGAGAACTTTACCTCCGAGACGAGCGAATGCGACGTCGATAGGTAGATTTCGAATATCGTCCTGGTTCTGCATTTTTCCGGGAAAAATTTTTCTCTGGAATTTGATAGGATTGATTTGCAGTTTTGTGTAGACCAAAAATCAGTTTTATTTCTGCCCTCCCTCTCTTTAAAGAGTGCGCCATCAAAGCCAGGCGGGGGTCGGACTGGTGTGAGTGGAAGTAGTCTAGGACTCTAGGACGTGATGTCTTGGGCTGGGCCAGGGTGACAAATCAGGACTATAGACTTGGCCCATATCAGTAGATCAAGTTGTATATTGGACCATCATGGCTCAGCCCATAGCCTTGGCCAAATTTAGGCTGTTAATTATGTTGGGTGAAACGAGTACGAGTTTTACCGGGTTCGCGTAAAAAAATACTTAACACATACTAAATCGTTTATTAATTCATGTATAATGAATCGTGTCATAATCAGGGGTGTCAATCGTGTCAGGTTAAACGGTTACGTGTTAGTTTAAACGAGTGACGGGTGAAAAATATATAAACTTATACACGACACATTTAATAAACAGATGAAAAACCTCAACACAAATACGAATCGTTTAATTAACGGGCTGCACGACACAACTCATTTAACTCGTTTAGTTTTAAACGAGTCGTACTGGATAGGGTCGGGTTAACACGGTAAACCACCCTTTAAAATCATTTACCTATTTGTTTAAAAATGCTATATAACTTTATAAAATTAACAATCTAACAATTTTATATGACTTATATATTTCATGTGGTTGTCACTCAAAAAAAATTTGACTAATTTTTTAAAATAATTATTAATTTATTATTATATTAATTTTATTTACACGAATAAACGAGTTGACAGGTCTCACTCGAACTCGACCTCTAGAGAATTAACCCGTTTATCACCCAAACCCAATAAAACCTCACCAAAACCTGCTTAATTCGTGTCGCTTAATCGTATCGTGTCGAACTTTGACATACATAATCATAACGTGTTCGTGTCGTGTATAAATTAGGTATAACTAGTTTATAAATGAGTCATTTCGTATATTTCTTTTGATTGATTTTATTCATACCTGATTCATTTATTAACTATGTCATGTCGGATCGCGTCCACTCATTTACTGAATGGCTGGCTTAAGAAAAAATCAAATACTCTAATTTTTTGCCGTGTTAATGGGTCATATCATATTTTGACACCCCTAATCAAAAATAGAGTTAGTATTCCCGTCAAATCTAAACTCACTAGGGTATTGATCTCCCTTTCGATCTTATTTATCTAAGGTAAACGATTTTTTTTTTTCACTTCAATCGTTTAATTTGGATATGTGTTTAATGGCTACCTCTCCTCAACACCAAATGCCCAAGGCGGATAGCTTTTACAAGGTTTGATATGGTTAATGACCCTCTTTTTTTTTTCTGTCTTTTGTCATAACCTCTCAATTCGTAGGTGGTGAACACAAAAAATAAGAATGAATTGATCAATTTTTTAAATATTTTCTTATTATCGTGGTTACTTGATTTGAAAAAAATTGTCCATCACAGTAAAAAAAGAAGGAAAAAAAAAAGAAAAAAGAAAAAAAATTTCACAAGAAAAGAGTTTTGAGTTAATGACAATTTTACGATTGAAGGATTTTTGAAAGTTTTATTTTTTCTCTCAAAGATTAAAAATCTTATATTACTATATATATATACTAGTTATTACTTGTGTCTGAAAAGCTCTGAGTAATAAAAAGTTGTAAACAATAAACATATTTGTATTCTTATTCAAAATCAAATTTCAAATAATAGAGAAGAGAAAAAATAATTTAAACATCGGTTTGTACCAGAAGTGAGAGCTGGTGGACGACAGTGGTGGTGGTAAGAGACAACGATGGTGGTGGTGGGTGACAATGACCGTAGCGGCGGTGGTGATGGTGGTGGTGGTAATGGCGGCGACGGTGATAGTGGTTTGCAGTGGCGGTAGTGGTGGTGGTGGTGGCGGAGCGGTTTTAAACACTATTTTTTTATAAAAATATTTTATGAGAAATAATTGATAAAAATACTTTTAAAAAGTCGTTCCAAACACACCTTTAGGAGCCTATTTTTCTTATTAAATTTAGGATGTTAATATTAACCGTTAAATTAACTTTAAAGTAAAATTTAAAGGGATCTTAACTGTGAATAGTAAAAATTATTTTATTTATCTTTTGAGATTTGAATTGTAAGCTACTTTATTATATAGACTAGTTATTGTTTATGCCTAAAGACACAGAGTAATAAATAATGTTAAACAATAAATAAATTTGTATTCATATTTAAAATTAAATCACAAACATAGAGAATAGATAAAAAAATTTAAACATCAATTTGTAATAGGGGTGATAGATAGTGGACGGTAATGGTGGTAGTAAGAGACAGTAATAGTTATGGTGGCGGTGGTGGTAGTGGTGGCAATAGCGATGATGGTGATGGTGACGACAACGATGGTGGTTTTGGTGGTGGCGACAGCGATGGTGGGTGTGGTGGCAATGGTGGCGGCGGCTGTAGTGGTGGGGGTGGAGGTGGAAATGACGGTGGCGGTGAGGGTGGTGACGATGACGGTGGTGGTGGTGGTGGAGACGATGGCGATAAAGGTGGAAATGGAGGTTGCAGTGGTGGTGACGGCGATGGCGGTGGTGGGTGTGGCGGCGATGGTGGTGGGGGTGGAGGTGGAGGTGGAGGTGGAGGTGGAGGTGACGGTGGCGGTGGTGGTGGCGGCGACGATGGCAATGGAGATGAGGGTAAAGGTGGAGGTGGCGGTGGTTGAGGTAGTGGTGGAATGGTTCAAAACAATATTTTTTTTTAAAAGTATTTATGAGAAATAATTTCTAAAAACACTTTAAAAAAATTACTCAAAACACACCCTTAGGACTTATTTTTTCCTATTAAATTTGAAATTTTAATATTAACTTTAAAATAAAACTTAAAACGATCTCAACCGCAAATAATAAAAATCATTTTGTTTATCTTTTGAGATTTGAATTATAAATTACTTTATTATATAGATTAGTTATTGTCTGTACCTAAAAATACATAGTAATAAAAAATAATAAACAATAAACATATTTGTATTCATATATAAAATTAAATTACAAACATAAAAGAGAGATAAATGATTTTAAGTATCGTTTATAATAGGGGGTGAGAAGTGGTAGGCGGTAGTGGTGGTGATAAAAGACGGTGATGATTATGGTGGGTGACAATGACCATGGTGGCGGCGGCGGCGATGGTGGTGGTGGTAGCGACAACGACAACGGTAGTGGTGGTGGTGGCGACAACGGCGACGGTGGTTGTGGTGGCGATGACGGTTATGGTGACGGCAATAATGGCAGTGGTGGCGGCAGTGAGGTGGTGGGGGTAGAAGTACTGGTGGAACGATTTCAAACACTATTTTTTTAAAAATATTTATGAGAAATAATTTTTAAAAAGTCACTTCAAACACACCTTTAATAATCTATTTTTCTATTAAATTTGGGATGTTAATATTAACTGTTAGATTAACTTTAAAATAAAATTTAAAATGATTTCAATTGCGAATAGTAAAAGTCATTTTATTTATTTTTTGAGATTTGAATTATAAGTTACTTTATTATCTAAATATTTTTTTTTGGAGGGAAAATAATGCTTTGATATTTCCGCGCACAATGACTGCGAGTGGAACAAAGCTTTTCCTGTTACGAACAATAAACCACTGGAACTAACTTAACCATGGTTGAAATTTCAAAATCGAGGCTGGGCTTTGCGCTTCATGTACAAGCTCACTGTGTCTGCACTCTCTCCCCTATCCCTTACCATCACCAGTACAGCTCTCTCTCTCCTCCATATTATATATATATATGTCTTTTCCTGGTTTCACTTGCCCATTGCGTAATTGCATTTCTCCTTTGTAAAAATTAGCTGAATTAATAATCTGAATATATATATATATATGTTTGTGTGTGTGTGTGTGTGTTTACAACGTACTTGTATCTGATAAGTTTTTTGTTGTCATTTGCTCTAATGTGAGTTTTTGTGCTGTTAATCATGGATTTTTTGGTTGGAAAATTGATATTTTCATTGCAATACAATACTAAATCATATAATAAACCTTGTCATAGATAGTATCCACAACGATGTGTTCTGTTATTCTTTATTTTTTTTTGTTTGAAGCACACCTGATTCCAGAAAGAAGTTGTGCCGGTATCATATTTGTTGCAAATAGCTGTACTACTTGGATATTTGTAGGTACATGTCCAATAGTTCTCAAAAGCTTCTAAGAGGGGAAAATGTTTTGTTCAAGAAGAAAAATAAAAAGACTTCTCTGATGTACATTCTTGATGTGTGTTTGCAGTATCTAACATTGTGGATGCAGCATTTCTCGTGTGGGAGTAGAGCATTTAGTTAAATAGCATACCCAGTTTCAGATACTTGGGGTCTTTTAAGAATAAGAATTCAAGTAAAGTTAATTGTGTTGAATTTGGTCCAAAACTACATGTATGTGACATAATCCTCATTTTTTTCATCTTTAGAGTAAGATGGTAATTTAGTAGATCTTGCATTTCATGTTTGACGGGTTTTTTTTGAAGTCGTGGATGTTTTATTTATTTTGTCTTACCCATTGGTAACTGTCCGGACTTGGTACTACTTTCGGAATGTTATCCTGAAGGAAGAAAGCTATGGATCCTGCGGAGCTTAGGTACTTGGAAGATGATGACAGTCCAATGATGAAGACGATTAAGGGTGCAACTACAGGTTTAGTTGCTGGAACTATTTTCGGCACCATTGTTGCCACTTGGTATGATGTGCCTCGTGTTGAGAGAAGTGTTGCACCTCCGGGGCTTATTCGGAACTCAAAGATGATGGGTAACCATGGGCTGACGTTTGCTGCTATTGGTGGAGTTTACATTGGTGTGGAGCAATTGTTGCAGAACTACAGAATGAAGAGAGACTTTGTCAATGGAGCTCTTCGTGGTTTTGTTGCTGGTGCTTCTGTGCTGGGTTACAAAGGTGACCCCCCCCCCCCCCCCCCCCCCCCCCCCCCCCCCCCCCCCCCCCC